CTACTAGTAAGGCACTTGCTCCTAGTAGCGATGCACCTGTTCCTAGTAGCTTCCTGTTGCTACTAGTAAGAGAAGGAAAAAGAGAAGAAAGGGAAGACACATGTAGGACAATACAAAACGGTCAAAATGGAGAAGTGAAGGGAAGAAGACAAAAGTAGAAAAGAGCAGTAGAAAAACGTAGATGAAAAAACAATTGTCGGCATAGACCCCAAACAGTTTCAGTAGGATATATTTTTGCGTTCGTTTCTTGAATTCCAATGTTGGAGGAAACCCAAGGATGATATCAATCTTGACACGCTGCACCACTGTTGCATTCATAGCCACAAAACCAACCCGGACAAAGGCCAGAGCTCCCAGAAGCCCCGCTCACATATCCAAATCTGTTGCAGTTGCTGCTGCAAACGCTTCGCTTTTTTGGAACTAGAAGCTTCTTGCTCCGTTCGTAGCGATGCCAGGAGCCCCTAGTAGCGTCCTTGCTCCTAGTAGTACGGCCAGGAGCCCCCTAGTGAAAAAAATCCAATGAACATGTAAAGTATTAGGCCCTTGATGAGTAAATCCTAAGACCTCTCCGGAGGTGGGACACAAGGGCAGGAAGCTACTAAAAGGTCTTTCTTTCCGGCGCCAGACTAGTGGTGCATCGTCGCCGGACAAGTCGCCGTTGCGACCTCGAGCGGACCTTTCGCGCTGCAAAGTGTTTGAGCAGCGCTGTGTTTCCAGAGTTTCTTGAGCAAAGTCGCACAGCGTCATGGGAATTGGGAGGCAAAAACGAGTTTCTGAAAACTCCGTTTTCTTTGCAGTTCCACCTGTGCCAACCAACACGGGTGTCAACCAATCACACTGGAAGATGTACTTTGGCACTTCCAGATTCAGAACATCAACCGAGCCAAAATGTAAGCGTGGTTGGCCGAGACGCTTCCCACAGCACAATACGCACCGTGGCTAGAGGAGACCGTGAAACCCCTAAGTAGAAACTGAAGTCTTTCGGAAGTTTTTACTTTTTGAGTGGAATGCCTCCAGCTTCTGTACAGCTAGTAATTACAAGTGCATCGCTAGTAGTAACAAGTGCCTTACTAGTAGTAACAAGAAGCTAGTAGGAACAGGTGCCACGCTTCTAGTAACCAGTGCCTTAATATTAGTAACAGGTGCCTTACTAGAAGAAGAGTTGTCGGTGGAGGTTCCGGAGCAAGTTCCGGAGCCGGTTGTGGATCAGTTTATCGCGTCGAGTGCTCACACGTCACGATGCCTTTGGTCATGCTGACATGTTACACCATCAGACTAACGTGCGGCTTTTGCTAACCTGCTGTCATCTCTGACACGCTGAGGTGTTGCTACTCCAACAAGCTGCTGACATGGTGCCATGTTGGTGTGTTGTGCATTTAGAATGCTGCGCATGATTGTCATTGTTACGCTGATGTGCCGGCGTGGTGTTGTTGCACTGGCACGTTGTCAGGCTGTCGTGCTGACATATTGTTTTTCTGGCGGGGGAAACGCTAACATGCTAACACAAAGTCGCGTTGAGATAAAGCAGTAGTGTCACATGCCACTTGTCGATAAACTTGCCCAGTTCGCCAACACATGCCAAATGTTACCATTACGAAATCAGCAAATTCGTGCCCAGCTGTTAGTGATTTTTGGGGCTTACCTTTTTCATTCCAGATTGGGTTTCGAGAGTTCCAAGGACGCTCAGATCAAAGCCCTGACGCCGCCGAAAGTTCCAGTGCCGGACTTCAAGGAAATTCGCTCTTTGTTTCGGCGGTGCTCAGTCATGTCGTGCTTTGGTGGCATTGGATTTTACACAGCCATGAAACTAAACTATTAGATATTGACACTTTTGAATGCAGAATTTGTAGTTGGGGAGTGTTGAGATCTTGGGGTTGAATGGCAATTCAACTTCCCATTGTCCTTGCTTCAGGCCTAGGAGAAAATGGGGGCGTAGTTTGGTGAACAATTTCCTTACAGTCTTAACTCTTAACAGCTTATCAGGCCAGGCACGCTAGGTGCAGTCTTGGGGACCATTCAAAAGGACTGCATTTACAAAACAGGATTCGCAAAACGGAGAACTTCTCAGGATCGTCTGGGCCCATGTGCTGTTGGTCCGTGTGCCCAAACCAAATGAGCCAGAGATTTCCGAAGTTTTTTTAGCGGAGGCCATCGCTAGTAGGTTGGAGGCCACCTCTCTTAGGTTGGAGGCCATTCCTAGTAGATTCCTTTTGCTAGGTGGAGGCCATCGCTACTAGTAACAAGAAGCCACTAGGGTCTCCTGGCATCGCTACTAGGAGCAAGGACGCTACTAGGGTAGGAACAAAAAGCTATTGTTTTTTTCTCAAAGACGAATCACAAACCTGTCGACAAGCACTGAGCCGGAGGGTTCCGGTCAACGGCCCGGCCGCCCGCCGGCCCGGCTAAAACCTGTGTGGCGCGATCTGCCAATCAGAACGAAGGTTGACAGCGTTCCGGTAGCTTGTTCCTAGTTAGCGTCCTTGCTCCTAGTAGCGATGCCCTTTGTTCCTAGTAGCTTCTTGTTCCTAGTAGTAATGGCAGGAGCTACTAGTAGCACCCTTGCACACCCACAAGGCGCCCAGGGGTTCTTTGAGCAATCCGCTGTTCTTTCCTTTTAGTGGCGAGGTCGACAGAGCAATGCTGTCGCTACCAGTGTGGCATTGTAATACAACCTCATTCAGGAGCGATCGGACGCTACTAGGAGCAAAGGGCATCGCTACTAGGAGCAAGGACCTTACTACTAGGAGCAAAGGACGCAGGAGCAAGAAGCCAGCTAAGAAGCTAGCTAGCAGCTCCGGGCATCGCCACTGGTTCGCACCTGCGCCCGAAAGACCAACTTCACCTGGTGACATCCGGTCAACAACGTGCGCTGCCGCAAGTTGCTGCGCATGTCGAAGACCTCGTTGGCACAAGCTTTTTAGAAGCGATGCGCTCGTTACTAGTAGCTAACACTGTTCCTAGTAGTAAGGCCAGGAGCCCCTAGTAGCGAACCTTGTTCCTAGTAGCGATGCCAGGAGCCCCTAGTAGTGAACCTGTTACTAGTAGCTCTTCAGAAGCATGGGTCAACTTCCACCTTCTGCAAAGCAGTGTGCGAGTGAGTGTTGGAAGCGTGAGCGTATGATCTTGGAGCAGTGTGTGCTTACTACACGGCGTTGGTTGGCCATCCGTCGTGGTTTGCACAGATCCCGTTTACCCAAAAGAACCTACTAGCGATGGCCTCCACCCTACGGTCTTCACCGAACAAAGGGGGAAAATGGAAAGTTTCGTTTGACACCTTCGATGAGTTTCGTGAGGAAAAGTGACAAGCAATGCATGTAGAAAATAACAAGAATAATATAGGGACACGTTGTTGCTGAAACCTCATGCAAACACTCGAGGCTGAAAGCGACGAAGATGCGTTTCTTCTTCAAACGATGGCTCGACTTCGAAACCAAGTGGGGTGATGAGCAAAGCCTGGGCCTCGAGAAACTGACACATGGATTTCGTTTTTTGCTTGTTCTCACCACGTGGCATCTTTCTCACCTCATTGTGGCGTCAAAGGTTTGGCTCAAAGGAGGTCTCCGTGCTTCGAAGATCACACGTGATCTCGTTCGATCCTTCCAATGTCGTCGAGGCGATTCACTGCCTTTCCTTTTGCCCGGTAACAAGAAGCTATTAGCAACAAGTGCCTTACCACTAGTAACAAGAAGCTAGTAGAAACAAGTGCATCGCTTCTAGTAACAAGTGCCTTACTAGTAGTAACAAGAAGCTATTCGTTAATTTTGCCTTTCTCGTCAAATGACGTCGAACGACGATGGAAGACGAGAGACGAGAGAGGGAGTCGGAGTTCTTGGGGGAGGAACTCGAGGAGCTTTGACGTCCTACGAGGTGGGGCTGACCTTTTTGTTGCTGCGTTTCGCGGAAGAAGCTGCTGAAGAAAGGAATGTGACAAGCGAGGGGCTGCAACGAGGCCTTGAATTTCATGAATCCAATGATGACATGTCACTTGATGAAGTTAATGTCGAAATGCCGAAGTTGATTGGCTGTTTGCTCCACGAGTGGTGTGCGAATGAGAAGGGCTGCTTGGAGAAATTGCATGATCGGCTAAGAAGAAGTGCCAGAAGTGAATCTGCGATTTGGGAAGTCTTGATCTCGGGATTGAGATCCGTGAACTCTCCAGATGCCTTGTTCGATGTCTTTCGTGGCTTAGAATCCATTGTTTGCAGAGACTTTGTCTCCCCCTCCCAACTCCATTCAAGCGGCGCATTTGGGCAAATGGCACGCAGGCTGATATTGTCCTTCAAGCAGGCATCCTTTGAAGCTATCGTCAAACTTTATGACCAAGTGCAAAATTGTCTACTGCAATTTGATGGAAGAAGTGAAAGAAGACTTGACGGACTTGACGAAGTGCAAGAAATGCGGTCCGAGGTGCAAGAGCAGCAAGAAGTGAAATCAACTGTCTCGACGGCCGCTGCGCACGCCAGCGCTGCGCACGCGGACTCTGCACGATCGCTGCCACACATACATCGCCACACTCCAACTTCGCTTAGTGTCTCGATGAGTCGTCTGCCATATGCTGTCCTGAAGGAGTCTGTGAGACAAAGGACGACTGACTTCCATCTGGTATTTTTGGACTATGTCAACAGTGCTCAAAACGGATTTCTGGATTCGGCAGATGCTTCGCTTCGTTCTTTTCATGACAAGAAAGTCTTAGGAGAGGATGCTTCGCTCCCCGTGAATGCCATTCTGGCGCTTGCCAATCTGAATCTTGATATGCGACAAGTGGATGATGCACTACAAGCCTTGGAAGACAGCATTCGAGCGGCGCAGGAAACATCTGACAGCAGCTGTCTTTGTGCATGTCTTTATTTGCTAAGCTTCATTCTTCAGATCACTGGGTCGGATGCCAAGGGGTCACAGTCATCACAGCAAGCGTCACAAGCCATGATGCATCGATGCCTCGAGCGATCTGAAATGCTTGGATTGCCCTTGTTGCAATGCCTTTGCTGCATGAACATCGCTCGAACTTTGGCGAAAGACGCAGAGAAAAGTGCTTCCCGAGAAGGACATACGTTTGGACGGACCAGATTTGTTTTCTCGAAAACGTGCGAGACATGTTTCTCATGTTTCCTGGCCTTACTGGAGCAAGGTTCGCTACTAGGAGCAAGGACGCTACTAGTAGCTCCTGGCTATTACTACTAATAAACAGTTTTCTTTTCGTTTTTTTCGTCCAACCTGGAGGACATGGACACGGCTCACATGGTAGTGGAGCTGCGATCTCCGGTGCGACGTCATCGAGGATGTGGGGAGGAGCTCGAGGCTCTAAGCGCTCGACCGAACTTGTTTCATGACTCAGTTTTTTTCTAATTTCAGCGGTGTCTTTCTTCCTTGTTTGGCGTATAATAGGCATAATATTATATATATATATTATATATTAATTATGTAATATATAATATCTTTCTTTTGTTCTTCCTTCAACCTTTGGGCATTTCTGGATTTTGGATTGTTTTTCTCAAAGACTGCAGGAGCAGTTTTGTTTGGGCTTGTTCACGCAGCTTTTATTTCGACCATTTCAACCTAGGTAGCATTTTGTTTTGCTGGGGTGATTTGGTGATCCAATCTTGCCAAGACCTAGTTTGGATCATTTGGGTTCGTACTTCAACGCCGCTGCTGTTCCTTGTGCCACTGTCCCTTATTGCCCTACTAATAGCGCTGGCCTCCAAATCAGCAGTTTTTGCAACTGTTTCCTTCTTGCTGAGAGGCTCAACGGGCACCTTGGGCAGCGCCACGCAGATGGCGGGCTTCAGCGGCACTGCACAGGTTGCACTGGCAGCGCAAGCTGCACCGCTCGCCGCTTGCAGTGCTGCGCTCCTTGAGGCATTGCAAGGTGCACCACCAGATCCACATGCGCAGGTCGGGAGAAGACCCTTCAGTCCAAGAAAGAAGAGACAAGGACCTGATCAGGATGATACGCCTTTTTCAACCTCGCTTCGACTACTTCAGTTTCCCACCAAATCATTAGTGCGAGCACTGCTTCAAGGAAGCCCCCCCTAAAAGCGTCCTAGGGGGCTTCCTTGAAGAAGTATGAGCTTTCAAGCCTCCTAGCTTACTCCCTTACTAGCGTCTTTGCTCCTAGTAGCGAACCTTGTTCCTAGTAGTAAGGCCGCAAGCCCCTAAGTAGCGTCCTAGCCTCCACCCTACTTCCCCAGGCCCAAAAATTAAATACTTTTCTTGGGAGGTCTCCACCATAGAGGCGCCGGTCTCGGTTTCTGGAGCGTTTGCTCATGCAACAATGGCATCCCTGCTTTCCACATGCAACGGGGACACAGCGTTCTTCAAAACAAGAGCCAAAGTGCTTTTGTGCAACGCTGGCATCTCAGACGTCTTCGGTTGGCGAGCGTTGAAGCTGAATTCATGCAAACATGTGATGGATTTCTACAAAGACAGCTTGACCGCAGAGGAGCATGCCTTGGCACTACAGCTTTCAGATGACAATGAGGTCTTAGAGCAGTTGCGACGGGAACTGCCACATGCTGGACACCTGTGGGTGAACTCTGTTGCCAAGAGTGCAACTGGTCGAAGTCTTTCCGTGAGGACGGTGCCAATCTTTCAATCCTTGGTTTTTCAAACGGGCGGTGCCTTGCGTGCGGTGCGCCACGAGGCCGCTTTCGATGCCAAGCTTTCTTGGGGACGAGCTGCCACGGATCTCCGTCTCTCCCAGGGACAGCTCTTGGCGGCCTATGTCTCGGTCCACCCCTGCGGGACGGGCGAACCACCCGTGCTTTGCCAATTCTTTTTGAGCCTCGCTGTGATTCACAAAAAGGCTGCGAATCCAGTTGATGCAATGGCAGCAGCCACGCGAGCTGTATCAGTGGCTGCCCACGCTGGCTTAGAAAAAGAAAAAGCCGAGGCTCTTTTGATGATGGCACAACTGAAGCTCCAAATGCAAGACCCCTTAGCAGCACTGCACCTGGCGGAAAAGATCGAGACCTCTGCCTTTGGGGGTCATTATGGTGAAGTTGCTTTGCTAGAGGCAGAAGCTCTCCTGGATTTGCTCAGCAAAGTGTGCAGTCGCAACCAGTCGACTTTGCTCGAAGCCACTGTGGAAAGGCTTGAAGTTGCAGTGAAAAGTTTGGAATCTTCGGAGCTTTCAGCACCTGCAGAAGTTCGCTGCGCGGCAGAAGCTACACAAGCTAGCCTGGCACAGGCCTCAACACAAGCTTCACAAACTGCTACAGCTCGGAGCAGCACTGCACCTAGAAGCGATGGCCTCCCTCAGAGCGCTGCTTGCGCCACTGCTTGCGCCCTTGGGCACTATTGGTTGGCTCGTTCGTATCATCAGCTGAAACGAACAACGCAGCGGGACTTCCACGCCCAGCAGTTTCGCATTCAAACCACTGGGAAGATCACCACCGAACAGCGGTCTCCTTACCCGATTTGAGGAAGGAATCGAGGAAGACAAGGAAAAAAAGGACAAAAAATGAGTGTCTGAGATTCATTTCTCATAACCTAGAAGAGATGGCCTCCAACCTAGTAGCTTCTTGCTACTAGTAGCTTCTTGTTACTAGTAGTCAGGCCAGGAGCCGTTCGTAGCGATTTGCCCCTAGTAGCGAACCTTGTTGCTAGTAGCTCTTGTTTTGGAAGAATCTTTGACCAAGATCTTGTAGGTCTCGCTTAGGGTCTCTCTTACTCAAGCGGTTCTACGCAAGCGGGCCTCCACCTCCCAACTCTTTCAGCTGCAGTAGCTTTAGCTCTCTGAGCCTCAAACAGAGAGAGAAGGGAAGAAAGAGAGAGAGAGAGACCTCAAAAAGAAGAGAAGATAAAACTCCTTTAAAGAAGAAACTCCTTATTGTTTATGGAGCTTATGATGCCGACCCATGAACAACACCCCTTAGAAGGTTGGAAGGTCCGGGGCCCAAATGGGGGGGTAGGCCGCTAGAGGTGCGTAGTAGCTAGAGGTAGCTAGCAACAGCTAGGTAGCTACTTCTGGCAGGACACAGGATAGCTCACGCTTCTTCAAGGAAGCTCCCACTAATGATTTGGTTAGAGAAACTTAAGCTGCCAGGAGCTACTAGTAGCGAACCTTGTTACTAGCAATGGCCTCCAAAGCTATGAAATTGTATTGAGGAGAGACATCCCTAACAGGAGCAAAGAGGCTACTAGGGGCTCCCGGCATCGCTACGAACGGAGCAAGGACGCTACTGGGGCTCGTGGCCCTACTACTAGGAGCAATGTTCTTGTTCCTAGTAGCTTCTTGTTACTACTAGTAAGGCACCTGTTACTACTAGCGTGGCACCTGTTACTAGAAGCGATGCACTTGTTCCTAGTAGCTTCTTGTTACGCAAGGTCAGGAGCCCCTAGTAGCGTCCCTGCTACATGTAACAGGATATGCATCGACGTGGAATGTGGCACACTAACTTCGCAATGAGCCTTGCACGCTTAGCCTTCCTACCAGCTTCCGCCTACTAGGTAAATCAGGAGATCACCATACCAAGTGCCATAACAAACATATATACATATAGAGAGAGAGAGAGAATCTTGTAGCTAATGGTTTACCAAGCGTCACGCTCGTCGTTCTTGTTTCCCTCATTCTTGCTTTAGGATATTTGTCCAGAAATGGTGCGGTGTGGGACGAAGCAAACATTGGAAGCTATTAGGTTGGAGGCCATTGCTATTAGGAGCAAGGACGCTACTAGGGGCTCCTGGCCTTACTACTAGGAACAAGAATCTAGTAGGGGCTCCTGGCATCGCTAGTAGGAGCAAGGATGCTATTAGGTTGGAGGGTCCTGCTTGTAGCTATGAAGCCCCAAAAAGCGAGCGAAGACCGTTCACAATTGAGACTGAGGTCAAGAAGAAGTCCGCCAAAAAGCAAGGGACTATGTGGAGAGCCAAGCCTGAGAGCTGAAAAACGCTGAAGCATCATGATTGTCAGCTCTGAGTCAGCTCACGCCTTTACATCAAATCCCAGCCGTGGCAGCCGTTCTCTCACTTCTCTCACCGCCTCATGTCTCGTTTCACCGCAGTAAGGCTGCACAGTCTGCAAACCTGCGCGGAAAAACAGTTTGGTACCACAGACCGCTACTCGAACCACTTGTCGTTTGGAATGTGTTGAAGTTGCTGTGGAAGATGACATAGGGTGGAGGCCGTCGCTATTAGATTGGGTTGGAGGCCATCGCTGGTAAGTGGAGGCCATTCCTATTGGGTTTCTTTTACTTTTTAGGTCTAGTTTAGCGTGCTGTGGAAGAAAGCTGTGGCTCATCTCCGTGGCGTCGCTGCGTTGTTTCGAAAAATAGCACTGGAACTTGCTGCGTTTGGCCCTAGACGCTGGGAGAAGTTTTCACTTGCAAAGCCGGCAAAATGGCATGAACAACATACATCGATATCGATGAGACCAGTGTTTAGCAAGCATGCATGAGGCCATTCTTGTAGTGCTTTGGCCGAATTTCAAGACAGTGTGGAACACGAATGCAAGAAGTACAACTCCGATTGGGAAAGGGAAAGCATTGGGAACAGGCAGACAAGCGGAAAGTGACACGGACAGACAGAATAGCTGACAAGCCCAGCCTTGGATTGCACGCCAAAACAACCTAAGAGCGATGGCCTCGAACTTACTAGCGATGGCCTCCACCATAAGAACAAAAAAGAGGGAGAAGCAAAGAAAAGAAAAGGGCACGGGCGCCGGCGCGATTGCGGTGCCATGTTCCCAAGATGCTTGCAAGAAACTTAAGCTGAAGACTGGTCAAATCTGGCAGGTTCAAGAAGTTTCCCAAAGTTTGTGCCAGATGTGTTTCTGGAGGCCATCGCTATTAGGTTGGAGGCCATCGCTATTAGGTTGGAGGCCATCGCTTGTAGGTTGGAGGCCACCGCTATTAGGTTGGAGGCCATCGCTATTAGGTTGGAGGCCACCGCTAGTGGGTTGGAGGCCATGGCTAGTGGGTTGGAGGCCATGGCTAGCTATTAGGAGGTTGGAGGCGCAATTGGGTTGGAGGCCATGCCTAGGAGGTTGGAGGCCATCGCTTGTAGGTTGGAGGCCATCCTTATTGGAGGCCATTGCCCTATCAGACTTGCCAGATGTGTTTAGCGGGCCCAGGCATCCAAAATTCAATTGAAGATGTGGCATCGATGCGTGGCGATTTCAGTTTGATCTCCAACTTGACCCGGTTCTTCCTGGCCAACGCGTTGAATGCATCCACATGTATGCAAAGTATTTACCTGTCCCTATGTGTTCTGAACGCCTCAGGGCGAGCGACCCATTCCGTTGCACCGTTGTCGATTGAAACGAGACTGAGGTGAGTGAACTCGGTTTCAAAGGCCAGGTGTGCCTGATGGGCGGCGTTTTGTTGCAAGCATTCCTTTTAGATCTCTTAGTAAGTGCGGCGCAAGATGAAGTTTTGAAAAGATTTTTTAACCAGAAGGTGTCCAAAATTGCAAACAAAATCCAACAGAAACATGGCCAACTGGGCACGGCAAGTCTACCCCAGGTGGGGCGTTTCAGATTCGTTTGGAACGTCACTTTGGCACTGAGTGGTGGGCGGAGCTTCTGAGCCCGAGGCTGAGACAGAATGAAGGTTTTGACGTGCTTCCTATTCCGCGGAGAGGACTAGGTAGCTGAAAAGAGGACTAGGTAGCTAGATGTAGCTGGTAGTTTAAGTAGCTACTACCGACAGGACGGGACTACTAGGTCGCGCTTCTTCAAAGAAGTCCCCCCCGCCACCTTAAAGGCATCGCTATCCCTATTAGGTTCGAGGCCGCTTTTAGTAGCAAGGGCATCTACTAGTAGCTCCTGGCATTACTAGTAACGAGAATGCTACGAACGGAGCAAAGGGCATCGCTTTTAGGTTCCTTTTGCTGTTGGAGGCCTTGCAGAACGAAGGTTTCAGGTTGACTTCTTCCAGGTTCAACGTTTATCTCGCACGAAGCCTGAGGCTCCCATGAGGAAAAACGAATAGAGGCAGCAAAGAAGCGCTACAAGCAGCAGTGGCAGGCAGAAACACCATCGGCATGCAGCCACCGCTTTGTTTGGTCTTTCTGAACCCAGGGGGAAGGAAATATGGTTGCGGAGCGCAACCATCACTTTAAGCGAGGCGAGATGGAGAAGCTCCTGCAAGAGATATAATCTCGGAATGTATAGTAGCGCGCTTGTTACTAGTAGCACGGAAAAGCGAAGAAACATAGATTTAAAAAACAGCACTTGTTACAGTAGCTTCTTGTTGCTAGTAGCTACTTGCTCCTAGTAGTACGGCCAGGAGCTGCTAGTAGCCTCCTTGCTCCTAGTAGCGATGCCAGGAGCCCCTAGTAGCTTCTTGTTCCTAGAAGCGGTGGCCTCCAACCTAATAGAGAATGTTTTGGAACTGACGGAATCCGTCAAACTGCTCACAGGAAAACGAAACAGGGCAAAAACAAGCGGTCAATAAAAAACCGTGGCAAAGCTGTACTGAAACCACTAACGCACGCAGAGCAACCAAGCCACTCGCAATCATCACGTTGACGGGCCATTTGGCCGCCAGACAGGCAGAAAGGCAACGCCAAATTCTTGAAGTACCATACAAGTATGCCAAACTCGTGTATAGATCCGTGGACAACCCCATACAACCCCCAATCTCCCAAAAGTGTGGGGACACTCATGCTTTACATGTTGCTCTTGATTTCTACTAGAAAAGTCCGCATCCAATTTCGTTGCTATTAGGTTTTTTGCTGTTAGGTTTGTTAAATCCTCCATACCTCAGCTGAAGAATTGCTTTCAAGTCGGAACACGCGACATTAAGTCAGCTACCCTCAATCTCCCTTGTCAACATTGGGACCACCAAAGTTAGTCAACACAACCAATTGAATGTCCAAAATCCTGCACCACCTCAGCATCAATACCATACAGATCAGAATTGCCGACACGCACGGGAAACTGCATGGTTCTGTAGTGTCAAACCTTGTGTGTGCTATTTATTTTTATTGCGATCTTTGTGTGAAATGAACAACCTTTTCCTCAGGTTGTGTTTTAGTATTTCTGTTCCAGCACAAACTTAGTAAGACATTGCCACATAGCTCGTGCTTTGCGAAGACAATTATAGGAATGTGAAGCAATGAAGGAACTGCACTAGGAGCAAGGAGGCTACTAGGGGCTCCTGGCCATACTGCTAGGAACAAGAAGCTACTAGGGGCTCCTGGCATCGCTACTAGGAGCAAGGAGGCTACTAGGGGCTCCTGGCCATACTACTAGGAACAAGAAGCTACTAGGGGCTCCTGGCATCGCTACTAGGAGCAAGGACGCTACTAGGAGCCCTACTAGGAACAAGAAGCTACTAGGGGCTCCTGGCATCGCTACTAGGAGCAAGGACGCTACTAGG